AAAGATAGGCAGTTTGGTTTTAAGAAAGAGATAATCTTCCAGCTTTCTGAGGGATGAAAAAGCCAAGGTCATAAACCTGCCCACAGAGAGATGAAATTGCTGAAGTGAGTTGAAATGGCTGAGTTGGGAAAAAATCCCCGTTTAAAAGGAATTTAAAAGAATTTTCTGGGTTTTTATGGGTGGTTTAAGGCAAACTATGCCTGGGCCACTGAAAAAACTCGTATTTTTGGAAGCCAAGATGGATAGTCCTCAACTTACAATCAGCATTGAAGCCAACATTTCTGCGCTGGGCAAGAAAGTCGTTAAGGGAGTCATTCCCCCACTTTACGACCTATCCTGCCATGGAGAATCACTGCCGTTGTTAAGTGAGTCATGTGGTCGTTAAGTGAATCTGCCTTCCCTGTCGGCTTGGCTTGTCAGAACGTCGCGAAACGGGATCACGTGACCCCGGGGACTCTGCGACCATCATAAATACAGGTAGTCCTCGATTTACGACTACAACGGAGCCCAAAATTTATGTTGCTAAGCGAGATAGTTGAGTTTTGCCCCGCTTTTATAGCCTTTCGTGCCGCCACTGTTTCGTGAGTCATGCAGTTGTACAATTACCGGATTTCCCCGAAAATAAGACCTAACCAGAAAATAAATCCCAGTGCAGTGTTTCTCAACCTTGGAAGCTTGAAGATGGGTGGGCTTCAACTCCCAGAATCCCCCAGCCAGCAGCGCTGGCTGGGGTATTCTGGGAGTTGAAGTCCACCCATCTTCAAGCTACCAAGGTTGAGAAACACTGTCCTAATGTGTCTTTTGGAGCCAAAATTAATATAAGACCTAAATAAGTCTTATTTTTTGAGAAATATGGTAATAACACAGTTGTTAACCTTGTCAGAAGGTCGCAAAAGAGGATCTTGTGACTCCGGGATGCAGCGACCGTCATAAATACAGGCAAGTCCTTGACTTACAACCACAGTAAGCCCAACATTTAGGTTGCTGAATGAGAAATTTGTTCAGTGAGTTTTGCCCCGTTTTACGACACTCCTTCTCACATTTGTTAAGCGAATCCCGGCTTCCCCATTGCCTTTGATTTGTCAGAAGGTCACAAAAGGTGTCCCTGGGACAATGCAACCGTCATAAATATGAGTCAGTTGCCAAGAGTGAATATAAATCACGTGATCAAAATTTCACGTGAAATTTTGGTCGTAAGGGCCAAATTCTATTTAATTATTTTAAAACTATTTTAACTTGTACAAATGTTTTATTTTTGGCTGTTCACCGCCCTGAGTCCGAAAGGAGAAGGGCGGTATAGAAATTTAAATAATAAAGAAGAAAGAAAGAAATAAGTCTCGTAAGTCACTTTTTTCAGTGCCATTGTAACTTCAAACGGTCACTAAACAAACTGTTGTAAGTCGAGGACTGCCTGTATGAGTCCGTTGCCAAGCATCTGAATTTTGATTACATGCTGAGACGCTTGTTAAGTGTGAGTAACTTTTGGTCGTGAGTCGCTTTTTTTTCCCCAGGGCTGTTGTAACTTCGAACCATTGCTAAAACGAAAGGCTGAAATTCGAGGAGGATTGAAAATGTGTGGAGGGCCGAGTTTCTTGGCTCGCGTGTTAGTTGCTTAGCTTGTCTCGGCTGCTGTGTGGATCCTTTGGATATTTTTATTGTTTTAGAATTTTAGAATTGTAAACAGCCCAGAGTCACTTGGGTGAGATGGGCAGGTACAAAAATTGGGTGGGTTGGTGGGTGGATGGATGAAGGAAGGAGAGAGGAAGGAAGGAAAAAAGGAAGAGAGGAAAGAAAGGAAGTTGAAGGAAGGAAGGAAGCAAAGATGGAAGGAGAGAGGGAGGGAGGAAAGAAAGGAAAGTAAGTAACTTAGTTGAGGGAAAGAAGGAAAGATGAATGGAAGGAAGGAAGGAAAGAAGAGAGGGAGGGAGGAAAGGAAGAAAAGAAAAGAAGTAAGTAACAGTTGAAGGAAGAAGGAAAGATGATTGGAAGGAAGTTGAAGGAAGGAAGGAAGCAAAGACAGAGAGGGAGAAAAGGAAGAAAGGAAAGTAAGTACTTAGTTGAAGGAAAGAAGGAAAGATGACTCGAAGGAAGGAAAGTAAGTAAGTAACAGTTGAAGGAAAGAAGGAAAAATGAAGGAAGGAAGTTGAAGGAAGGAAGGAAAATGAAGAGAGGGAGGGAGGAAAGAATGGAAGTTGAAGGAAGGACGCAAAGATGGATGGAGAGAAAGTAAGTAACTTAGTTGAAGGAAAGAAGGAAAGATGACTCGAAGGAAGTTGAAGGAAGGAAGCAAAGACGGAGAGAGGGAGGAAAGGTAGAAAAAAAAGTAAGTACCTAAGTAATTAACTTAATTGAAGGAAAGAAGGAAAAATGGAAGGGAGAAAGAAAGTTGAAGGAAGGAAGGAAGCAAAGATGGAGGGAGGGAGGAAAGGAAAGTAAGTAAGTAAGTAACAGTTGAAGGAAAGAAGGAAAAACGAAGGAAGGAAGGAAAATGAAGGGAGGGACGGAGGAAAGAATGGAAGTTGAAGGAAGCAAGAAAGCATGGAGGGAGGAAAGGAAGAAAGGTAAGTAAGTAAATAAGTTGGAGGGAGGGAGGAAGGAAGGAAAGGAAGGAAGGAAGGAAGGAAGGAAGGAAGGAAGGAAGGAAGGAAGGAAGGATACAATCACAAGGTTGGAAAATCTGACTTAGCAACACAAGTGGCTTGCCAACCATAACAGCATGCAAACATTTTGAATTTTGAGTAGGGATTTTTTTTTCTCCTGCTTAAAGGCTGTTTCACTCATAAAGCAAATATTCTTGAATTAGAAACGGGTATTTTGAGCTTTAAGTGAGATAGTTTCATTCTCAGGGCCCTTCCTAGATGATCAGAGCAGCTGTTTTTTTAAGTGCGAAACTGGATTTTGAACTTGAAACCTTTTCGAATTCAAAACATGTCATTTACTTCTAGCTACCAGTGATTGAGATAGGGGAAGATTGACCTGCCATTCTTGTGGCTGTGGTTTACAGATGAACAGAGTTGGAAGGGACCTTGGAGGTCATCTAGTCCAACCCCCCGCCCAAGCAGGAGACCCTACACCATTTCTGACTGATGTCTGTCCAGTCCCTTCTGGAAAACCTCCAGGGATGAAGCTCCCACAACTTCCGAAGGCAACTTCTGTTCCATGGGTTGATTTCTCACTGTCAGAAAATTCCTCCTTATTTCCAGGTTGAATCTCTCTTTGATGAGTTTCCATCCATTGTTCCTTGTCTGGCCTTTGGGTGCTTTGGAGAATAGCTTGGCCCCCTTCCTCCTCTCTGGGGCAGCCCCTCAAATACTGGAAGGCTGCTATCCTGTCTCCCCTGGTCCTTCTCTTCACTATTTTTTATTTTTATTTTGTGGTACCGAAATTCAGTGCCTCTGTTCATGGGGGCATGTGAGTGGGGCGTTCTTTTAAGAGGTCTAATAACACCACCTCCCAAATTTGGATTGTATTTCTCGTTAAGACCCAACCAGCAGGATCGCTGGGCAAGGTTGTAGCCTTTGTTCTCCAGAACACAGCAGGACCTTCAGATTGTCCACTGCTGAATGAGAAACGAGCAAGATTTCTGTCGACCCCCCTCTGTCCTTGAGTTTGGCTCACCATCGGTGTGGAAGAGCCCCTCCTGCCCGGTGTTGGATCTTACTCTTCTTTGGCCCTTGGCTTGAAAGCCTTTGAGATATGGCTGGGGAGGACCACGTCTACCTCTTCATCTGGTTCTGCTTCCCAGCCTGGTGGAAAGGTAGCTTAGCAGTAGAGCTTTGCATGGAGGTGATCTGTTCTGTCTGTCTGTCTCTCTGCCATCCATCCATCCATCCATCCATCCATCCATCCATCCATCCATCCATCTATACAACCATACATCCATACATGCATGTCTATCATCTGTTTTTTATCTCTATATGTGTGTCTATCATCTCTGCATCTATCTCTAACTATATTTCTCTTTGTAATTATCTATCTATCTATCTATCTATCTCCATCCATCCATCCATCCATCCATCCATCCATCCATCCATCCATCTATCCATCTCAACTAGCAATAGCAATAACACTTAGACTTATATACCACTTTATAGTGCTTTTACAGCCCTCTCTAAGCGGTTTACAGAGTCAGCCTCTTGCCCCCAACAATCTGGGTCCTCATTTGACCCACCTCGGAAGGTTGGAAGGCTGAGTCAACCTTCAGCCTGGTGAGATTCAAACTGCCAAATTGCAGGTAGCCGGCAGTCAGCTGAAGTAGCTTGCAGTACTGCACTCTAACCACTGCGCCACCTCTCATCTATCTCATCTATCATCTGTCTATCTTCCTTCCTTCCTTCCTTCCTTCCTTCCTTCCTTCCTTCCTTCCTTCCTTCCTTCCTTCCTTCCCTCCCTCCCTCCCTCCCTCCCTCCCTCCCTCCCTCCCTCTCATCCTCTCTATCATCTCTATGTCTTTGTCTACATTTTCTCTTTGGCTGTCTATCATAACCTTTTCTATCATTTATCTGCCTATCTCTAGTTCTATCTCTATCGTCTATCTCCATCTGTCTGTATCATCTCTATATCTCTCTATATCTCTTTATATCTCTATTTCTCGATCTCTATTTCCATTTATCTCTCTACACCTCTACATCTCCATATCTATCCATCTCTCTATCCACATCTACCTGTCCATCTTTCTATCCATCTTTCTCTAGCCCTCCATTTAGCCATCCATCCATATCTTATCTGCCTGCTTATTTTTCTATCTATCCATATTTGTCTTTTTATTTTATTTTATTTATTTGTCAAGCACATATAAGACAACAGGTAAAAGTATAAACATAATTTGAATACATGAAAAGAGTAAGAGTAAAAAGGAATATTAGGACAGGGATGGTCTTTTGATCTATCCATATCCATTTTCAACATTTTTTTAAAACTGAACCATAAATTAATCCCGGAATCTGGGTGTTCCCAGTGGTTTTTTGGGGGCTTCCTAATGCTCCCCTGGTTTTTCCTAGGCCGTTTCCTGGAGACTTGGTCGCCCAGCACTCTTGATCCCACAACTTTGCAAAAACGCCTACGACAATGTCCAGCTCAAGCTATCCTCCCAACCAAGGAGCCTTCAGCACGGAGCAGAGCCGTTATCCGGCACATTCGGTCCAGTATACCTTTCCCGGTGGCCGGCACCAGCAGGCAAGTAGCAGCGGGCCCTGCCCGGGGAGGGGGGGATTCTGGGTAATCCTGCAGGGCCCTCCCCTGGATGTCTGGCTTCTTCAAACAGGAAGTCCTCAAAATATGACCGTAATTGAGCCCCAAATTTATGTTGCTAAGTGAGACAGCCGGTAAGCGAATTATGCCCTGTTTAACAACCTTGTCTTGCCACGGTTGTTCTGTCCCAACTGCGGTTGTTGGGTTAGTCACATGACTGTGTGACGCTGTGGTTCACCAAAGTGATATGCGCGTTTTCAAATTTTTCACTGAACAACGTAAATTTTGGGCTCAACTGTGGTCTGTTCTGACCTAGGCTTCCTGAGTCAGTAAAACACACGAGTAGTCCCAAAAACCTCTTTTTATTGCAACAGCTGTGAATTCTGTTCATTCACAGATGAGTCCCAATTGGTTGTAAAGAGTCCTTCGGGGTAAGGCTGATAATCACCCACCTTTAACTCCCTTGACACGCTGCCAAAGGCCTAATTGGCAAAGCCAATTCTGGAGTCCAGAATCAAATAGAGCTTCAGACTTTAAACTGCACAGAATGAACAACGTTGCTTCCTGCAAAGGCCAATGTGCCTTTGCTCCTCTTTTAAGTCTTATGGGAGGGGCCAATCATCTCCAAGCCCTACTCCTGAGTCGTCCCTTCTGTTTTAACTGTTCTTGCCTTCTGGCAGCTCTGCGCATGCACGCACTGGGAACAGGCTCCCCCTGTTCCTCTGCCTCGCTGACGTCAGACTCCGGAGGCTCCGGAGGCAGCACATACCTCCCAGATGGCCCTTTCTCTGCCTCCGACGCAGAGCCTTCGTCCGAGCCTTCCCCATACTCCAGGACTGGTCCATGTTCCTCCCCAGCCTCCTCACTGTCCGACTCTGCTGCCAACTCCGCAGGCCGCCAGCGGACCACAACATGGTCGTACATTGAGGACTACATGTATACAGATTGTCAGGTCAAGAGGATGTGGCTTGCATGTGGCTTGCACACACTCCCTGGTAGAAAAGGAAGCTTCCAAGCCAGGTTCATCGTGGTCAGGGGAGAAGAAATTGACACCCCTTAAGGGAAATAGGGGGCAATCCTCAACTTACGACCGCAATTGAGCCCAAAATGTCCATTGCTAAGCAAGACCGTTGTTAAAGTGAGGTTTGCCTCACGTTACCACCTTTCTTGCCACGGTTGTTAAGCGAATCCCAGCCGTTGTTGAGTTAGTCGCACGGTCGTTCAACGAATCTGGCTTCCCCCTGTGGACTTTGCTTGGCCGAAGGTCGCAAAAGGGGGATCACGTGAGCCCCGAACCCTGCGACCGTCATAAATAAGTAATCGGTTTGCCAAGCGTCCGAATTTCGGTCACGTGACCAAGGGGATGCTGCGACGGTCGTACATTTGAAACAGCTGTAGTCTACCGGCCGATTGTCCGTGGTTCTGGCTAGTTAACAAGAGCCAAACCAGTTATAATAAAGATTAAAGAGGACTAGAACCTTGGTTTTTAGCTTCTAGGAAAGCACCGGAAAACCGATGGGGAAAGTGCTTGGTAGCTTTCCGAAGACTGCAGAGGGTTGCACAACGGGGCAACCTTTGTGCGGTAACCACAACCGCATAGCTGGCTGGGGAATTCTGGGAATTGGAGTCCACATATCTGAAAGTCGCCCAATTTGGGAAACACTTATAAACCCTGGGATTTCCCCATGTCGGAGAAGACTTCTGGTTAGTGAAGGCCCCCAGAGGGAGGCCAGATGTTCCTGGAGATCCTTTAAAGAATGTGGACCAAGATTATGATGTTCTTTCTCCGTGATGGCAAACCTACGGCACGCGTGCCAACAGTGGCACGCAGAGCCATCTCTCCAGGGCATGTGGAACCTTTGCTCATTGTTCCTCCGGGTTCCGACGTGCCGGCCAGCTGGTGTTCTCTCACGCGGGAGCGCCAGAAACTGGGGAGCGCCAGAAACATGCGTACGCAGGGAAGATGATTTTCTGGTTTCTGGCATGCACATGCGCACCAGCCACTTAGTCTTCCCGTTTATGGTGCGCATGTGTGCGCAAAAACCAGCTGGCCAGTGTGCATGCGCGTGCCGGAAACTGGAAGATCATTTTCCCGGCACGCGAGGACCCCTGAATCTAGTGCATGTGCACCGGACAGCTGGACCTCATGCGCACGTGCATGCCGGAAACCAAAAAAATCAGCTGCTTTTCTGGTTTCTGGTGTGCGCATGTCCGCATGCGTTCCCGTTTCGACACTCGGTGCCGAAGAGGTTTACCAACACTGTAAATCTTTTCTCATTGTTGTGGTCCACCAGCAGCCTGCGCATCCGCGTGTCAGGCACTGGACCCAGCTGTTCCTCCTCTTCCTCATCAGCCACTTCCTGTTCTGGTCCGCCAGCAGTCTGCGGAGCTGACAGCGGAGTCGGACAGCGATGAGGCTGAGGAAGAACATGGGCCAGTCCTGGAGGCTGGGGAAGGCCCAGATGAGGGCTCTGCGTCGGAGGCAGAGAGGGGGCAAGGGCCATCGGGGAGTGATGTGCGGATTTTGGAGCCTCCAGAGGCTGACAGTAGAGAGACAGAGGAACAGGAGGAGCCTGTTCCTAATGCACGTATGAGAAGAGCTGCCAGAAGGCAGGAGCAGATAAAGCAGAGAGGACGATTTGGAAGTAAGGCTTGGAGATGATTGGCCCCTCCCATGAGGCTTAAAAGACCAGCAAGGGCTCTTGGCCTCTTTGCCGGAAAACAACCGTTGAGAGATTTGCTTCGTGTTTGCATGTATTTCTTTCTTGTCAGCGTCTTCTGTTCCTGAACTGTTGCCAAGAAAAGCCTTTGGCAGTTTACCTAATTGTCCCAAGGTCAGAGATAAACTGAAGAATGGTGTTTTGAGGACTTTGCTTTCATTTCATTTGGAATAAGCTGAGAATGAGTTAATTCACAGCTGTTTTAATAAAATCTGTTTGTTTTTTTTGGAACTGTATTGCATTTAATATTAACTACGTGGGCCTGGGTCACAACTCTCATCCTTTTGGTCTTGAGGAATACGCCTCTCTCTGTCCTCACAGCGATTCCTTTCACTCCTTTCCTTCGTAGGAATTTGCAGTCCCGGATTTCCGCACTTCTCACTTGGAAGTCAGCCAGGGTAGCCAACTCCTGCAGCAGCAGCAGCAGCTCCGCCGTCGCCCCTCTCTGCTCTCCGAATTTCATCCTGGCTCGGACCGGTAAGCGTTTGTGTTTTCTCTGGCGAGTATTGGTTGTTGTTTTTTTTAAACCGGAAGACCTTCCGAAGAGCTCCTAGCCTGTTCTTGTTTCAGGTGTGCAGGATAAAGTTGTGGTTAAAAGAGGGCGATGGTAGCATTGGGTGTGGATTTGTAATTGGGCAACCCATCTTATCGTGTTTCCCCGAAAATAAGACCCTGTGTTATGTTTTTTTTGCCAGCAATAGCAATAGCACTTAGATTTATATACCGCTTCACAGTGCTTTTACAGAGCTCTCTAAGCAGTTTACAGAGTAAGCATATTGTCCCCCAACAATCTAGGTCCGTGATGGCGAACCTATGGCACGCGTGCCACAGGTGGCACGTGGAGCCATATTAGTGGGCACGCCAGCTCAGCTCTGGGGCGCATGCGCGCGCCGGACAGCTGATTTTCAGGCCTTCTGGGCCCACCAGAAGTAGGGAAACAGGCTGTTTCCTGCCTCTGGAGGGCCTGGGGGCGGGGTGGGGAAGGCCCGTTTTTCTTTCTTACCTGGCTCCAGATCCTCTCTATGCATCTGGGAACGGCGAAAACAGCCTTTCCCACTCCCTTGGAGGCCCTACGGAGGCTGAAAGAGCCCATTTCTCCACTCCCGATGGGACAGGAAGTGACTTTTTTCCTGTCCCCAGCCTCCAGAGACTCCTAGAGGCTCCTACAGACTCCTAGGGAGGCTCCTAGAGAGGTTCTGGAGGCTGGGGACAGCAAAAAATGTCACTTCCTGTCCCACCGAGAATTGGGAAATGGGCCCTTTCAGCCTCCGTAGAGCCTCCAAGGGAGTGGGAAAGGCTGTTTTCGCCCTTCCCAGATACACAGAGAGGATCTGGAACCAGGTAAGAAAGAAAAACGGGCCTACCAGGCCATCATGTGCCAGGAGCGAGGGAGGGGGAGGGAGTTGCGCACGCATGCGCGTGGGCACGTGCGCGCACGACCTTCCCCTGCCCCTCCTCTCCTGGCACGCAATGGCAAAAAGGTTATCCCACCTCAAAAGGACGGATGGCTGAGTCAACCTTGAGCCAGTAAGATTTGAACTGCTGAACTGCAGCTAGCAGTCAGCTGAAGTAGCCTGCAGTAGTGCACTCTAACCACTGCACCACCTCGGCTCACCACAAAAAAAGGAACTAGGTCTTATTTTTTGGGGGATGTCTACTGACTCGTCTCACTTGCACACGTCATCCCCTGCCTCCTTTTCATTGTCAGAGGCCTTCAGGAACTTCTTCTGCGGCCAGCAAGGCCAGTAAGGAGCCTTGGTGGCACAGCAGACTAAACTGCTGTTAAAGTAGCACTTAGCTGCCTGCAATTACTGCGAGTTCAAATCTCACCAGGCTCAAGGTTGACTCAGCCTTCTCCGGAGACTCAGGGCGGCTTACAATGCGTTAAGCAATAGCCTTCATACTTTTGTATATACCTGCTTAGTAGGGCTTTTGGCCCCCCCCAAGCGGTGTTCTTTTTTATACAAAGTCAGCTTATTGCCCCCACAATCCGGGTCCTCATTTTACCTCCCTCGGAAGGATGGAAGGCTGAGTCAACCTTGAGCCTGGTGAGATTCGAACTCGCAGTAATTGCAGGCATCTGGCAGCTAAGTGCTACTTAACAGCACTTTAGTCCGCTGCGCCACCAAGGCTCCTTCTCTTCTATCTTATCTTTTTGCTTAACTTTTCTTGGGCTGGTTGGGGGAGACCTTGGATCCGGGCAGCTCCGGCTGCTGTTTTCCCCCAGCTCCGAACTCCTTCCTCATTCTCCCATCTTCACCTTCCTCTTCTTCCTCCAGGCCTCAGGAGAGGCGATCGGGCTACGAGTCCCAGTTTCCCGCTGGCCCTTCCCAAGCCGATCATGACGCGCTGGATTCCAAGCGGCCGCGGCTGGACCAGGTTTCTGACTCGCATTACCAGCGGCTCAATGCCACTGCGGTCCTGCCCTTGGCCCACCAGTTCCAGGAAGGCCTGCGCTCATCGGACCTGAAGAAGGTAAAGCAGGGTTTTGGCTTTTCGGGCAGCCAATCAATGGATAATACAGGTAGTCCTCGACTTACGACTGGTACTGGGCCAGAGGTTCTATCGCGAAGCGAATTAGTTGTTAAGTGAGTTTTGGCTCATTTTACAACCTTCCTTGCCGCGGTTGTTAAGTGAATCCCTGCAGTTGTTAAATTAGTCAACACGGTTGTTAAGGGAATCCGGCTTCCCCATCGACTTCGCTTGACTCTGCGACCGTCGTAAATGTGAGTGTCAGCATTCTGATGCTGCCATAAAAAGGAGGAGATGAGGCTTGACTTTTCGCCTACTTATTTTTTCTGTAGATAATATCCCCTAGGAGATGGGATGGGAGTGGGGACATTCCTGTGGGGTCAGGTCAGAAGCTGGGGAGACTGACTTGGAAGATGGCCAATGAGAAGATGAGAATTGGGGAACGGAAAGGGAAGGGTTTGGGGATCAGAGGGTTAGTATCGGCTACGACGAAGTCGGGGCCAGATCTGTCCTACTCAATAAATGGAATATTTCAGCAAAGATTAATTGTTTGGGAGTGCAATTTATTTGAGATGACATCGAAACCTGACAGTGAGTCAGTTGCCAAAGCGTCTTAATTTTAATCACGTTTAGTTTACTTTAGTTTACTTTATTGTCATTGTACGTCATAAAATGAAATGTGTACATCACACATAAGAAAACTATCAAAATAAAACACACGTCCTTCACATTCTATACAATTGAATTGAAAAACCCTTGATATTGCATTAATATTGCACTATACAGTAGAATTCAGTATGGTTACTGCCCTGGGATAGAAGCTGTTTTTCAGCCTGTTTGTCCTTGTTTTTATTGTCCTGTACCGTCTGCCAGAGGGACGCGGTGGCTCAGTGGCTAAGATGCTGAGCTTGTCGATTGAAAGGTCGGCAGTTCAGCGGTTTGAATCCCTAGTGCCGCGTAACGGGGTGAGCTCCCGTTACTTGTCCCAGCTTCTGCCAACCTAGCAGTTCGAAAGCAGGTAAAAAATGCAAGTAGAAAAATAGGGACCACTTTTGGTAGGAAGGTAACAGCGTTCCGTGCGCCTTTGGCATTGAGTCATGCCGGCCACATGACCACGGAGACGTCTTCGGACAGCCCTGGCTCTTCGGCTTTGAAACAGAGATGAGCACCGCCCCCTAGAGTCGGGAACGACTAGCACTGTGATGGCGAACCTATGGCACGCGTGCCACAGGTGGCATGTGGAGCCATATTAGTGGGCACGCCAGCTCAGCTCTGGAGCGCATTTGCGTGCCGGCCAGCTGATTTTCGGGCCTTCTGGGCCCACCAGAAGTAGGGAAACAAGCTGTTTCCTGCCTCTGGAGGGCCTGGGGGCGGGGTGGGGAAGGCCTGTTTTTCTTTCTTACCTGGCTCCAGATCCTCTCTGTGTATCTGGGAAGGGAGAAAACACCCTTTCCCACTCCCTTGGAGGCCCTACAGAGGCTGAAAGGGCCCATTTCCCGACTCCCGGTGGGACAGGAAGTGACGTTTTTTCCTGTCCCCAGCCTCCAGAGACTCCTAGAGAGGCTCCTACAGATTCCTAGAGAGGTTCTGGAGGCTGGGGACAGCAAAAAATGTCACTTCCTGTCCCACCGAGAGTTGGGAAATGGGCCCTTTCAGCCTCCGTAGGGCCTCCAAGGGAGTGGGAAAGGCTGTTTTCGCCCTTCCCAGATACACAGAGAGGATCTGGAACCAGGTAAGAAAGAAAAACGGGCCTACCAGGCCATCATGTGCCAGGAGCGGGGGGGAGGGGGTTACGCACGCATGCGCGTGGGCACGTGCGCGCGCGACTCTTCCCCGCCCCCCCCTCTCCTGGCACGCAATGGCAAAAAGGTTAGCTATCACTGGACTAGCACATATGTGTGAGGGGAACCTTTACCTTTTACCGTCTGCCAGAGGGTAATAGTTCAAAAAAAAGGATGTCCAGGATGGCCCGGGGGGGGGGGATGCTGCAACGGTCGTTAAGTGCGAAAAACAGTCATAAGTCACTTTTTTCAGTTCCGTTGTAATTTTGAACCCAGGGTGAAATCTGCTTACCTTCCCAAACAGTTCGGAAGTGCATGCGCCGTGTGTGTGTGTGTGTTGTGCAGAGGGTAAAAAACAGGTTACTTCCTGGTTAAAACCTCGCGCTGCCATCGCTATCGGTTCTCCGAACCGGTAGCATTTCACTCCTGCTTTGAATGGTCACTAAATGAACAATTGTCAGTCAAGGGCTGCCTGTATTTATTCGGTCAGTGACCAGCACTATTTAAAAAAACCAACCAACCAACAAAATAACCAAAAACAGAGTGGAATAAACAATTCACTAATATCTTGCTCTGTTAATACAGCTATTAATCCAGGTGATAAATCTAATAATAAGATTAAAATCTAATTTCATCTATAAGTGTAAGGTAAAAATAAAAAAATAAATAACCCCTGGAATTAATTAAGAAATATCAAGCCCAGTGGTGGGTTCCTCCCGGTTCGGCCGAACCGGTAGTAGTGACGATATGATGTCACCGAACCGGTTCTGCCCCCCGCCCGCCCCCTGCGTTATTCTTACCTTTTATTTGGCCCCACCCCCAATCTATTGCTTCCTCCCGAGTCCCAGCTGATCAGCTAGAAGGAAAAAAACTGTTTAAACTCTTGCCGCGGGGCTTCAAAGGGCCGCCCTACAGCTGATCAGTGTTAAAAGGCAGTGTGGTGGTAGACCGGAATGCTCCAAAAACAAATGGGTAGACCGATGCCTCCAAAAACGAATGAGTAGACCGGTGCCTCCAAAAACGAATGAGTAGACCGGTACAGCTCTGCAAGCAGTTAAAAGCCTGGTAGACCAGTACCTCTGCTAAATCCTAAAGAATTGTTACATGACCATCAAACCACGCCCACAAAATAAGCCACGCCCACAGAACCGGTGGTAAAAAAATTTAGAACCCACCCCTGATCAAGCCAACTAGAACTTAAAAAGGGTCAATACAGATAATCCTCGATTTACAACAGGTCACTTAGTGACGGTTTGAAGTTACAACGGCACTGAAAAATGTGACGATGGCTGTTTTTCACACTTATGACCAGTGCAACATCCCAGCGGTCGGGTGATTAGAATTCAGACGCTTGGCAAACGATTCACATTTATGACGGTTGCGGTGTCCCAGGGTTACGGGATTCCCTTTTGCGACCTTCTGACGGGCGAAGCCAATGGGGAAGCCGGATTCACATAACAACAAAAATATCACACCCTGATAGCGCGAATTAAACTCTGTCTGTTTTTCACGTATGGCTAGTCTGGAGAAGAAAAGGATGGGGGGGTGGGGGGACATGATAGCATCTTCCAATATTTGAGGGGCTGCCCCAAAGAAGAAGGGGTCAACCTATTCCCCAAAGGAGAATATGCATACGCTCTCAGTGTACATAAAAGAAAAGATACTGAGTGTACATAAAAGAAAAGAATCATAAAGTACAACACTTAATGATAGTCATAGGGTACAAAGGAGGCAGGAGAAGAAGCAACGGATGGAAACTAATCAAGGAGAAATGCAATCTGGTGTTGTGGTCCGCCAGCAGCCTGTGGAGCTGGCAGCAGAGTTGGACAGTGAAGGGGCTGGGGAGGAACATGGGCCAGTCCTGGAGTCTGGGAAAGGCTCAGACAAGGGCTCTACGTCGGAGGCAGAGAGGGGGCCAGGGCTATCTGGGAGTTATGTGCTGACTCCGGAGCCTCCAGAGTCTGATGTCACTGAGACAGAGGAACAGGGGGAGCCTGTTCCCAGTGTGTGCATGCACAGAGCTGCCAGAAGGCAAGAACAGTTAAGACAAAAGGGGCGACCCTGGAGTAAGGCTTGGAGATGATTGGCCCCTCCCATAAAATATAAAGGAAGAGGAAAGGCACGTGAGCCTTTGTAGGAAGCAACTTTGTTCACGCTGGTCAGTTTAAAGTCTGAAGCTCCGTTTTGATCCTGTGCTCCGTGTGGCCTTGCAAAGCTAATTGCCGATTAGGTCTTTGGTAGCGTTTCAAGGAAGATCAAGGTGGGTGCTTATCAGCCTTATCCCGAAGGACTGTGGCAGACGTCCGTCAGACTCTTTACAAACTATTTGTGACTCATCACGGGCTGGGAACGAACAAAATTCACAGCCCTTGGAATAAAAAAAAAAGGGTTTTGGGGACTCATTGTGTGCTTTTTACTGTGTCAGGAAGCCTTGGTCAGAACATCTGGAGTTAAGGAAAAACTTCCTAACAGTGAAGACAATGAACCTGTGGAACTGCTTGCCACCAGAAGTTGTGGGCGCTCCCATCACTGGAGGCTTTCAAGAAGAAATTGGGCAGTCATTTCTCCAGAATGGTATAGGGCAGTGATGGCTAACCTTTTTGCCATCGCGTGCCAGGAGAGGAGGGGTGGGGGAGGGTTGCGCGCGCACGTGCCCACGCGCATGCGTGCGCCACCCCCTCCCCCCCCGCTCCTGGCACATGATGGCCTGGTAGGCCCATTTTTCTTTCTTACCTGGTTCCAGATCCTCTCTGTGTATCTGGGAAGGGCGAAAACAGCCTTTCCCACTCCCTTGGAGGCCCTACAGAGGCTGAAAGGGCCCATTTCCCAACTCTCGGTGCGACAGAAAGTGATGTTTTTTCCTGTCCCCAGCCTCCAGAACCTCTCTAGGAGTCTCTCTAGGAGTCTCTAGGAGTCTCTGGAGGCTGGGGACAGGAAAAAACGTCACTTCCTGATCCACCAGGAGTCGGGAAATGGGCCCTTTCAGCCTCCGTAGGGCCTCCAAGGGAGTGGGAAAGGCTGTTTTCGCCCTTCCCAGATACACAGAGAGGATCTGGAGCCAGGTAAGAAAGAAAAACCAGCCTTCCCCACCCCCCCAGGCCCTCCAGAGGCAGGAAACAGCCTGTTTCCCTACTTCTGGTGGGCCCAGAAGGCCCGAAAATTAGCTGGCCAGCGCGCGCATGCGCCCCAGAGCTGAGCTGGCGTGCCCACTAATATGGCTCCGCGTGCCATAGGTTCGCCATCACGGGTATAGGATCTCCTGCTTGAGCAGGGGGTTGGACTGAAGGTTCCCCCAAGGTCCCTCCCAACTCTATTCCGACTTAAACTCCCAGAATTCCCCAGCCGCAAACCACCCTTGCTGAGAATTCTGGGATTAGGGAGACCCTGGATGGGAGAAGGCTATCCCACACGGCTTAATATTTTCCTGGCTGACTTCAGGTCAAGTTTAAAAGTCCTCGCGGGTGATTAATGTTTAACTCGGGTTTTCCGAGCAAAGGTTGAGAGGTGGCAGGGCTGGTTTTCGTCCTTTGTTGACACCTGGCCTCAGCTTCCAGCCCGTTGCCAGTTCTTCCTGCTCTTATCTGCTCCCTGGGCTGTTTTTTGTGAGCCAGCGCTCTGGATGGTGGGCGTGTGGCATGGACGGGCATTGTAATAATAAAGAAAGCTTTCCCATGGGCATCAGAGCTATACTCGGAGAGCCAGTTTGGTCTAGTGGTTAAGGCATCAGGCTAGAGACAGGGAGACAGGGAATTCTAGTCCCACCTTAGGCATGAAAGCCATCTAGACGGCTTCAGGTCAATCACTAGGAGGCAGTGAGTTCTAGTCCCATCTTAGCCATGAAAGCTGGTTGGGTGACTTTGGGCCAATCACCAGGCGACAGTGAGTTCTAGTCCCACCTTAGGCATGAAAGACATCTGGATGGCTTTGGGTCAGTCAACAGAAGACAGTGAGTTCTTAGCCATGACAGCCAGCTGAGTGACTTTGGGCCAATCACCAGGAGACGGTGAGTTCTAGTCCCGTCTTAGCCATGAAAGCTGGTTGGGTGACTTTGGGCCAATTACCAGGAGAGTGGGAGGTCTAGTCCCACCTTAGACATGAAAGTTGGCTGGGTAACTGGACCAATCACCAGGAGACGGTGAGTTCTAGTCCCATCTTAGCCATGAAAGCTGGTTGGGTGACTTTGGGCCAATCACCAGGCGACAGTGAGTTCTAGTCCCACCTTAGGCATGAAAGACATCTGGATGGCTTTGGGTCAGTCAACAGAAGACAGTGAGTTCTTAGCCATGACAGCCAGCTGGGTGACTTTGGGCCAATCACCAGGAAACGGTGAGTTCTAGTCCCGTCTTAGCCATGAAAGCTGGTTGGGTGACTTCAGGTCAATCACCAGGAGACGGTGAGTTCTAGTCCCACCTTAGGCATGAAAGCTGTTGGGTGACTTTGGGCCAATCACCAGGAGACGGTGAGTTCTAGTCCCGTCTTAGCCATGAAAGCTGGTTGGGTGACTTTGGGTCAATCACCAGGAGATGGTGAGTTCTAGTCCCGCCTTAGGCATGAAAGTTGGCTGGGTAACTGGGCCAATCACCAGGAGACGGTGAGTTCTAGTCCCGTCTTAGTCATGAAAGTTGGCTGGGTAACTGGACCAATCACCAGGAGACGGTGAGTTCTAGTCCCGTCTTAGTCATGAAAGCTGGTTGGGTGACTTTGGGTCAATCACCAGGAGACGGTGAGTTCTAGTCCCACCTTAGGCATGAAAGACATCTGGATGGCTTTCGGTCAGTCAACAGAAGACAGTGAGTTCTTAGCTATGAAAGCCAGCTGAGTGATTTTGGGCCAATCACCAGGAGACAGTGAGTTCTAGTCCTGTCTTAGCCATAAAAGCTGGTTGGGTGACTGGACCAATCAACAGGAGACGGGAGAGTTCTAGTCCCGCCTTAGGCCTGAAACCTGGTTGGGTGACTTTGGGCCAATCACCAGGCGACAGTGAGTTCTAGTCCCGCCATAGGCCTGAAATCTGTCTAGGTGACCTTGGGCCAGTTACTCCCAGTCCAATCCACCTTAAAAGTTCATTGTAGTGGTGAAAATAGGAGGAGGAAGTATTATATGTGTTCGCTGTCTTATAATTACTTGTTAAAAAAGGGAGAAAAATAGATAAAATAAAAATAAATATATCTTTTTTTTTGGGGGGGAAATACAGATAATCCTCAATTTACAGTTCAGTTAGTGACTGTTTGATCTTACAATGGCACTGCCTATGGAGATTTTCTGTCATCCAGGACACAGTTGCCCCAAAGATGCTTTTTCCAGGAGGCAAACTGGATTTTCTTGTTTTTTCTTTTGAAGACGTTTCGCTTCTCATCCAAGAAGCTTCCTCAGCTCTGACTGAATGGTGGAGGATGGAAGGATTGATGCTCCTTGCAGACAGCTGGTCATTTGCATCCTTTTTAGAGAGCCGTTGAGGCCCCTTGGAGGTTTACCTGTGTCCTCAGGGTCACCTGAGTGGTGCAAATGGGGGTGGCTCTCTGTCCAAAATGTGGACCTTGCTGTCTTCAAAAGAGGGGCCTTTGTCTTTTTTTAAAACGCAGATGGGCTGCTGAATGTTGGCCTGATGGGTTTGTTCTCCTAGGTTGCGCCATGCGTCTGTGAAGCGGTTGTTTTGTTTCCCCAATCTGCACGTGTCTCACTGCATTGGACTGCCTATACCACGTTGCTCAGTTCGTGTCCGGGTGTTTTATCCTGGGGTTTGACGTTTTATCTTTGGTCGTGGTCGTAAGTCAAGGAGAACCTGTAACTTTTTTATAGCTGGAGTTTCTCTTTCATCATCAACGTTACAACAGCAAGTTCACCACACTTTCTTTTCTCTCTCTCTCTCTCTCCCTCCCTCCATCTCTCCCTCCTCCCATCTCCCTCTCCCCCCTTCGCCCCCCTTCCTCTCTCTCTCCCTCCCTCCCCTTCCCACTCTTCCTCCCTCCCTCTCCCTCCCCTCCCTCTCTCTCTCCCTCCCTCCCTCTCCCCCTCCTTCCCCTCCCTCTCCCTCCCCATATCCCTCTTCCTCTCTCCCTTCCCCATCCCCGTCTTCCTCTCTCTCCCTCCCTCCCTCTCCCTCCCCTCCCTCTCCCTTTCCCTCCCCATATCCCTCTTCCTCTCTCCCTTCCCCATCCCCCTCTTCCTCTCTCCCTCCCTCCCTCCCTCTCCCTCTCCCCCTCCCTCTCCCTTTCCCTCCCCATATCCCTCTTCCTCTCTCTCCCTCTCTCTCTCCCCTCCCTCTCCCTCCCCTCCCTCTCTCTCCCTCTCCCTCCCCATATCCCTCTTCCTCTCTCCCTTCCCCATCCCTCCTCTTCCTCTCCCTCCCTCCCTCTCCCTCCCTCTCTCCCTCCCTCTCCCCCTCCCTCTCCCTTTCCCTCCCCATATCCCTCTTCCTCTCTCCCTTCCCCATCCCCCCTCTTCCTCTCCCTCCCTCTCCCTCCCCTCCCTCTCTCTCCCTCCCCTCCCTCTCTCTCCCTCTCCCTCCCCATATCCCTCTTCCTCTCTCCCTCTCCCTTTCCCTCCCCATATCCCTCTTCCTCTCTCCCTTCCCCATCCCCCCTCTTCCTCTCCCTTCCTCTCCCTCCCTCTCCCTCTCTCCCCTCCCCCTCTCTCCCTCCCTCCCTCTCCCCCTCTTCCTCTCTCTCCCTCTCTCTCTCCCCTCCCTCTCCCTCCCCTCCCTCCCTCTCCCCCTCTCCCCCTCTCCCTCTCCCTTTCCCTTCCCATATCCCTCTTCCTCTCTCCCTTCCCCATCCCCCCTCTTCCTCTCTCTCTCCCTCTCTCTCTCTCTCCCCCCATCCCCTCTCTCAGGAGCCCATCTTCGGAGGCAAACATGAGGGCCCTCCGTCGCCCATGTCGAGCCAGTCGTGCGGAGAGGACCAGAACGCCTCTCCCTCCAAGCTGTCGAAGGAGGAGCTCATCCAGAGCATGGACCGGGTCGACCGGGAGATCGCCAAAGTGGAGCAACAGATCTTCAAACTGAAGAAAAAGCAGGTCAGCCATTTGCGGAGCGTTTTTGATTTCAGGTGGTTAAGAAACTCGATAGGGCCGCCCAACCCATTCGCATTGACCCCGGAGAGCTTCCCAGAGATTAAAAACCCAGCATCGCTCATCCCACCAGACGGGCCTCCTCCAGAGGGGAGACCCATGACATCTTATTTCCCATTTGGCTCTTGAGGTGGAGGGAGCCACCACGGAGAAGGCCCTCCCACTTGGTCTCACCCGGTGGTGGGATTCAGCCGGTTCAGCGACCTGTAGGCGGGCCCAGCCGCCTGCCCTGGCGCTACGCCGTCCTCTGTGGTCACGTTTTCTAAGCCGTGCGAATGGGTGCCCGCCGTGCATGCGAACAAAGCACATGCGCGGAAGAGGTGCGCGCTCCCATGTTCGAAGCCTGGAACTCTTCACTCTGCACTCCTCAACCCAGCGACAGGATCTCGGGTCTCCCAGGAGGTGTTTATTATGGGTTGCCAGTGCAGTAAACCTATTTATTTATTTATTTATTTATTTATTTATTTATTTATTTATTTATTTATTTATTTATTTATTTATTTGATTTATTATGGGTTGCCAGTGCAATAAACCTATTTATTTTATTTTATTATTTTATTTATTTTATTTTATTTTATTTTATTATTTTATTTTATTTTATTTTATTATTTTATTTTATTTTATTATTTTATTTATTTTATTTTATTTATTTTATTTTATTTTATTATTTTATTTATTTTATTATTTTATTATATTTTATTTTATTTTATTTTATTTTATTTTATTTTATTATTTTATTTTATTTTATTTATTTTATTATTTTATTTTATTTATTTTATTTATTTTATTTATTTTATTTATTTTATTTATTTTATTTTATTATTTTATTTTATTTTATTTTATTTTATTTTATTTTATTTTATTTTATTTTATTTTATTTTATTTTATTTATTATTTATTGGTTCGATTTATATGCCGCCCTTTTCCAGAGACTCAGGGCGGCTTACAATGCTTTTAAGCAATAGCCTTCATACTTTTGTATATACCTGCTTAGTTGGGCTTTTGGGGCCCCCCCAAGTGGCGTTCTTTTTTTTATACAAAGTCAGCTTATTGCCCCCACAAACTGGGTCCTCATTTTACCTCCCTCGGAAGGATGGAAGGCTGAGTCAACCTTGAGCCTGGTGAGATTTGAACTCTCAGTAATTGCAGGCAGCTGGTGTTACATAACAGCGCTTTAGTCTGCTGCGCCACCAAGGCTCATTTTTGTTGGTGGCTCTGTCTTGTCTCCCGATAGGAGAGAAGGTCTGTAGGTCAGGGTGGAACTGTGGGGTCCTTGGTGCTCTCTGAGCTTGCCGGTTTTCTTGGAGATGTTTCATGACCCAACTAGATAATGGCATCAGGGGTGGAATGGAGGGGGGTTTGAGGACAGGAGGAGGAAGAGGAGGAGGACTGTGGGGTCCTTGGTGCTCTCCGAGGTTGGTGGTTTTCTTGCAGACGTTTCGTGACCCAACTAGGGAACATCATCAGTAGTGGAAGGGAGTGGGGTTTGCAGGGAGGAGGAGGAGGAGGAGGAGGAGGAGGAGGAGGAGGAGGAGGAGAACAACAACTATGGGGTCCTTGGAACTCCCTGAGTTTAGTTATGTTCTTGCAGACATTTCATGACCCAACTAGGGAACATCATCAATGCTAGAAGGGAGGGGTGTAAAAAAGCAGAAAAAAGCAGAAAGGAAGAAGAGAAAGAGGAAGGAGAGGAAGGAGAGGAGGACTCTAGGGTCCTTGGTGCTCTCTGAGCTTGATGGCTTTCTTGCAGACGTTTCGTGACCTAGCTAGGGAACATCATCAATGGTGGAAGAGAGTGGTGTAAAAAAGCAGAAAAAAGCAGAAAGGGAGGAGGAGGAGGAAGAGAAACAGAAATAAGAGAAAGGAGAGGAGGACTGTGGGGTCCTTGGTGGTCTCCGAGGTTGGAGGTTTTCTTGCAGACGTTTCGTGACCCAACTAGGTAACATCATCAGTGCTAGAAGGGAGTGGGGTTTGCTCTCTGTCTTTGATTAGGCTGTTGTTCACTCTTTGGTTATGTGAGTTGGCAGTTCCTTTGGGATATTGTTTATTACTTGATTGTCGCTCTGGTATTAATCTGGGTGTTAATCTCTGTTTATCGAGGCGTTGATTGCTGGCAAGGAGGTGTTGTGGCCTTTGAGCTTTTTGATCGTGTGTGTGTAGATGGCTGATTTGTCGGAGTGCCCGGCCTCCAGGAATTTCCCAGCAGTTTTAGATTTAGCTTGGTCTAGGATGCTCAACAGTTTTCCAGCTGAATGTGTTCTCTTGTCTACATTTTGTCTTTTTTGACCTGAAAACTGAAAGAGTGGAGAGTGGAGTGGAATGGAATGGAATAGAATATAGAATAGCAATAAGAAAGAATAGACTAGACTAGACTAGACTAGAATTAGAATTAGAATTAGAATTAGAATTTAGAATTTAGAATTTAGAATTTAGAATTTAGAAATTAGAATTAGAATTAGAATTAGAATTTAGAATAGAATAGAATAGAATAGAATAGAATAGAATAGAATAGAATAGAATAATACAATACAATACAATATGATACAATACAATACAATACAATACGAAATCAGGATAGGATAGGATAGGATAGGATAGGATAGAAATAAGAATAGAATAGAAAGAATAGAATAGAATGGAATAGAATAGAATAGAATAATACAATACAATACAATACAATACAATACAATACAATACAATACAATACAATATGATGCAATACAATACAATACAATACGAAATCAGGATAGGATAGGATAGAAATAAAAATAGAATAGAATAGAATAGAATAGAATAGAATAGAATAGAATAGAATAGAATAATACAATGCAATACAATACGATACGATACAATACAATACAATACAATACAATACAATACAATACAATACAATACAATACAATACAATACGAAATCAGGATAGGATAGGATGGAAATTAGAATAGAATAGAATAGAATAGAATAGAATAGAATAATACAACGCAATACAATATGATACAATACAATGCAATACAATATGATACAATGCAATACAATACAATACAATACAATACAATACAATACAATACAATACAATACGAAATCAGGATAGGATAGGATAGAAATAAAAATAGAATAGAATAGAATAGAATAGAATAGAATAATACAATGCAATACAATACGATACAATACAATGCAATACAATATGATACAATACAATACAATACAATACAATACAATACAATACAATACAATACAATACAAAATCAGAATAGGATAGGATAGGATAAAAATAAGAATAGAATAGAATAGTGATGGCGAACCTGTGGCACGCGGAGCCATATATGTTGGCAAGCGAGCATTGCCCTAGCTCAGCTCCAGCGTGCATGCGTGAACCGGTCAGCTGATTTTCGGGCCTTCCGGGCCCACCGGAAATCGGGAAATGGGCCGTTTCTGGCCTCTGGAGGGCCTCCATGGGGGTGGGGAAGGCCATTTTCGTCCTCCCCAGGCTCCAAGAAAGCCTCTGGAGCCTGCGGAGGGCAAAATACGGGCCTTCTGGGCCCACCGGCAACCTTTTTGCCATCGCATGCCAAATGCGGGGGGAACGCAGGGGTGGCATTGAATTATCAGTGTGGGCATGCATGTGCACGATCCCCCCACGCTCTCCACGTTTTGGCATGCAACAGCAAAAAAGGTTAGCCATCACTGGAAGAGAGCCTTAAATAGAACAGAATTAGAGTTAGAATTGAATTAGAATAGAATAAAACAGAAGTTAAGAAATAGAATAAGAATTAAATAGAATAGAATTTGAATTGAACTGAAATAGAATAGAATAGGAATTTAGAGTAGAATAGAATACTATCACTAATACTTTATTTTATTTGGCAAAGTGTGATTAGAGACAGAAGAAATTTGTCTCCGGGGCAGAAGCTCTCAGGGTATATGCGAAGCAACAGATTAATCATCATCGTAATAGTGATACCAATAAGTAATAAAGTAATAGAGGAGGTGAGCAGGATAATAATAATACTACAGCCGTCCAACCTGGATGAATATATTTAGATCTTAAGAGAGTGCCCTGGGAATTAGGTGCTCTTGCAGAGCGATGGCACGAAGGAAAAAAACCGTCCCTGCATCTAGTTGATTTATTTATTTGTTTGTTTGTTTGTTTGTTTGTTTGTTTGTTCGATTTATATGCCGCCCTTCTCCGGAGATTCAGGGCGGCTTACAATGCTTTTAAGCAATAGCCTTCATACTTTTGTATATACCTGCTTAGTAGGGCTTTCGCACCCCCCCAAGCAGTGTTCTTTTTTTAATACAAAGTCAGCTTATTGCCTCCACAATCCGGGTCCTCATTTTACCTCCCTCGGAAGGATGGAAGGCTGAGTCAACCTTGAGCCTGGTGAGATTTGAACTTGCATTAATTGCAGGCAGCTGGCAGCTAAATATTACTTTAACAGCACTTTAGTCCGCTGTGCCACCAAGGCTCGTTTTGGCACGTCACGCCCTACGGCGGGGTCCCGAGGGGAAGACTTGAGAAAGGTTATTATGTCCAGGACTGGAGGGGTCTGCAGTTATTTTCTCAGCCCTCTTTCTGACACACACACACACCCACCCCACGATATATACAGGTCTACTACAGGCTGGTTGCAGTTGTATTTTTTTCCTGCAGTCCGTACGGTGATGTTTGCAATGGCTGGGCCCTCCCTCTCCTTCCAAACTCGTCAAGGCAACATCTGGCCGGTCCAGATGTTCGCGTTATCTCTGACTCGGTGCCTACGCGTGTGAAGCTGACGTCCCTCTCGCCCTCCTCCCTCTTGTCTCTTAGCAACAGCTGGAGGAAGAAGCTGCCAAACCTCCTGAACCGGAGAAGCCCGTCTCCCCTCCGCCGGTGGAGCAGAAACACCGCAGCATCGTCCAAATCATCTACGATGAGAATCGGGTAACACGCTCCTTTCCTCCTTTCGCCGGTCTGCATTTTGCTTAGTTTCGCTGAGAACTTTTCGTGGAGAGGATGGGTGCAGGGAAAATCTCGTTCGGTCTTCAGATCCTCCACTCAACAAGTTCTCCTCCTTTTTCCCTCCCTCCCTCTCTCAAACTCTCGCGATTCCTGGAGCTGCGAGATTGTGTTTTCTTGTTGCGCGACAATTGCGGAAAAAGTGGAGGTTTTTATTAAGTTATTGGACATTTGTCTGAAATGGTATAGGTTAGTGATGGCTAACCTTTTTGCCATCGTGTGCCAGGAGAGGAGGGTTGGGGGGGGTTCGCATGTGCATGTGCCCACACGCATAATTCTATGTGAATTGCCCCCGCACACGCGCGTGTGACCCCGCCCTGCTCTCCCTGCTCCTGGCCCAGTAGGCCCGTTTTTCTGTCCCACCTGGCTCCAGAGCCTCTCTAGTAGTGATGTCCCAGTGTCTGGAGGCCGTGCGGGTCTGGATGGGGAGGAACAGGCTTCGACTCAACCCTTCCAAGACTGAGTGGCTGTGGATGCCGGCGTCCCGATATAGCCAGCTGGTGCCATCGCTGGCTTTTGGGGACGAGTCATTGACCCCCCACAGAGGGGGCTCGCAACTTGGGCGTCCTCCTGGACACACGGCTATCTTTAGAAGAGCATATGACGGCCGTGGCCAGGGGGGCTTTTTATCAGGTTCGCCTGATACGCCAGTTGCGCCCCTTTCTGAGTTGGGATTCCTTATGCACAGTCACTCGTGCTCTCGTCACTTCTCACCTGGACTACGCTAATGCTCTCTACATGGGGCTCCCCTTGGAGCACCCGGAGGCTCCAACTGGTCCAGAATGCAGCCGCGCGGGTGATCACGGGAGCGACATGGCGCTCCCATATAACACCTCTCCTGCGCAAGCTGCACTGGCTCCCGCTGGTCTTCTGGGTGCGATTCAAGTTGTTGGTTCTCACCTTTAAAGCGCTCCATGGCTTAGGGCCAGGGTATTTACGAGACCGCCTTCTGCTACCGATAACCTCCCACCGGCCAATACGCTCTCACAGAGACGGCCTCCTCAGGGTGCCGTCGGTCAAGCAATGTCGGCTGGCGACCCCCAGGGGGAGAGCCTTCTCTGTGGGAGCACCCACCCTCTGGAACGAGCTACCTCCCGGAATACGACTGATCCCGGATCTCCGCACTTTCCGTAAGGCCCTGAAGACGTTTTTATTTCAGCAAGCCGGCCTGGCCTGAATAGGTTTTATGGGTTAGTTTTTAATTGTATAGCTTGGGGTTTTAAATTGGGAGGCCGATTAATTTAATTTATTTTTAATTATCTTAACTTTTATATTGTATGTTATTTTAATTTTCGGCTGTTCACTGCCCTGAGTCCCTTCAGGGAGAAGGGCGGTATATAAATTCAGTAAGTAAGTAAGTAAGTAAGTAAGTAAGTAAGTAAGTAAGTAAGTAAATAAATAAATGTCTGGGGAGGGTGAAAACAGCCTTCCCTCCCCCCGGAGGCCCACCAGAGGCCAGAAATGGCCCATTTGCCAACTTCCGGTGGGACCGGAAGTTCACAAACAGGCTATTTTCGGCATCCAGAGGACCTCTGCGGGGGGGGGGCATTTTTACCATCCCCAGACTCCTAGAAAGGCTCTGGAGGCTGGGGACAGCAAAAAATGGGCCTTCCAGTCCCACCAGAAGTTGGCAAACGGGCCGTTTCTGGCCTCCGGAGGGCCTCTGCGGGGGTTTGGGCAGGCTGTTTTTGCCCTCCCCAGGCTCCTAGAAAGGCTCTGGAGGCTGGGGACAGCAAAAAACGGGCCTTCCAGTCCCAACAGAAGTTGGCAAACGGGCTGTTTCTGACCTCTGGAGGGCCTCTGGGGGGGGTTTGGGAAGGCTGTTTTTTGCCCTCCCCAGGCTCCTAGAAAGGCTCTGGAGGCTGGGGACAGCAACAAACGGGCCTTTCAGTCTCACAAGAAGTTGGCAAATGGGCTGTTTCTGGCCTCCGGAGGGCCTCTGGGGGATGTTGGGAAGGCTGTTTTTGTCCTCCCCAGGCTCCTAGAAAGGCTCTGGAGCCAGGTGAGAGAGAAAAATGGGCCTTCCCCACTACTCCCCCGAGGTCCTCTGGAGGCAGGAAACAGCCTGTTTCCCTACTTCCGGTGGGCCCAGAAGGCCCGAAAATCAGCTGCGCACGCCAGAGCTGAGCTCCCATGCTGACTGATACGGTGGCACGCGTGCCATAGATTTGCCATCACGGGTATAGGTTCTCCTGCCTGAGCAGAGGGTTAGACTAGAAGACCTCCAAGGCCCTTCCCAACTCTGTTATTTTGTTAAATAGTTCAGTTTCCCCGTCCGCAAACAGTTAACACGAGGGACTGACCGACGTGTAGGTGAGGTTTAGGAAAAAACAAACAAACATTGGCAGCCTTAACGGCTGTGATCAAAGTGAACCTAATAACGCCCTTCTGTCGAACTCCGGCTTCTGGGGACTCTTCTTTGCCGTTTTCTTGGGAGCGTTTCAAAAGTCATTTCCGCCTTCGTCTGGGATATGTTTTTCGCCTTCCCGGTCGGTCTAGCCAACAGCTGGAAACAGCCTTCCGGGTGGTCTCCCCTCCTCCCAATTCTGGCCCGAGCAGACCCCGGTGAGCTTCGGAGAGCAGCCCAGATGTGTTTTGGTAACATGGGCTGTTCCTCTTCGGTCGTTGAACCGTCGCCCTGTTTTGCAACATGCTGGCAGCTGAGCGAGGAAAGGCCAACGCTGAACCGCGGAGTGTCGGCCCTGGTCGTTGTTCTTATTTATTTATTGACACCGAACTGCAGTGGATTTTGATCAGTGGACAAAAGTAGGGGGGAAAAAAACATGAAAGAGAGCCAGTTAAGTCTAGTAGTTAAGGCACCAGGCTCGAAACCAGGAGGCAGTGAGTTCTAGTCCTGCCTTAGGCATGAAAGCCGGATGGGTGACTTTGGACCATTCACCAGGAGACTGTGAGTTCTAGTCCCGCCTTAGGCATGAAAGCTGGCTAGGTGATTTTGGACAAATAACCAGGAGACAGTGAGTTCTAGTCTCGCCTAGGCATGAAAGCTAGCTGGGTGATTTTGAACAAATAACCAGGAGACAGTGAGTTATAGTTCCAGCTTAGGCATGAAAGCTAGCTGGGTGATTTTGAGCCAATCACTGGGAGACAGTGAGTTCTAGTCTCACCTTAGTGGACAAATAACCAGGACACAGTGAGTTCTAGTTCCAGTTTAGGCATGAAAGCTAGCTGGGTGATTTGGGGTCAATCACTGGGAGACTGTGAGTTCTAGACCTGCCTTAGGCATGAAAGCTAGCTGGGTGATTTTGGGCCAATCACCAGGAGACAGTGAGTTCTAGTCTCGCCTAGGCATGAAAACTGGCTAGGTGATTTTGGACAAATAACCAGGAGACAGTGAGTTCTAGTCTCGCCTTAGGCATGAAAACTGGCTAGGTGATTTTGGACAAATAACCAGGAGACAGTGAGTTCTAGTTCCAGTTTAGGCATGAAAGCTAGCTGGGTGATTTTGGGCCAATCACCAGGAGACAGTGAGTTCTAGTCCCGCCTTAGGCATGAAAGCTGGCTAGGTGATTTTGGACAAATAAGCAGGAGACAGTGAGTTCTAGTTCCAGTTTAGGCATGAAAGCTAGCTGGGTGATTTGGGGCCAATCACTGGGAGACAGTGAGTTCTAGTTCCAGTTTAGGCATGAAAGCTAGCTGGGTGATTTGGGGCCAATCACTGGGAGACAGTGAGTTCTAGTCCCGCCTTAGGCATGAAAGCTGGCTAGGTGATTTTGGGCCAATCACCAGGAGACAGTGAGTTCTAGTCTCACCTTAGGCATGAAAACTGACTAGGTAATTTTGGACTAATCACCAGGAGACGGTGAGTTCTAGTCCCACTTTAGGCATAAAAGTCAATGTGGAAAGCCAGCTTTGCTTAATGACTTCACATTTCCCTTAACAAGTGCAATGCTTCACTTAACAACGGTGGCCTAAAAGGTCATCGAATAGGCCACAACTCACTTTACAACCCTCTAGCCTCAGAAATATCGGGCTCCATCGTAGTCGCAAGCCGAAGACTTCCTGAATTGAGGGGAATTATTGTCGTTTGGTGTCCGGTGGACGCTGCCCGACTTTCGCAAGGCTTCGCCGTTGACATCGAATGAACCCAGCGAGGATTGTGACCTGTTTCCTTTTCTCACTGCGGAGGTTGTGTTTGTGTAATGTGGGGTGGGAGGTTGTGTATGTGGGCCGTTTCTGCTCCGTCAGAGGGGAAAGATCGGTTAGTTCGGATTGTTTCCCTGGTTCGAAAGCTCAGGGGATTTGGGGAAAAGGAGCGGTCAGAATACAGGCAGTCCTCAACTTACGACCAGAGTTGAGCCATTGCAAATTTCCGTTGCTAAGTGAGACATTTTACCGCTTTTCCCGCCACGTTTCTTAAGTGAATCGCTGCCTTTGTTAAGTTAGTCACCTGGTTGTTAAGTGAATCTGGCTTCCCCGTTGACTTTGCTTGTCAGAAGGTCGCAAAAGGAGAATCACGTGACCTCCCCCCTCCCCCGGGACACTTTGACCATCAGTTGCCATGCCTCTGAATTTTGATCACGTGACCATGGGGATGTTGCAACGGTCGTAAGTGTGAATCACATAAATCACATGTTGTACCTTTGAATGGTCACTAAACGAACTCTTGTAAATTCCAAGGCTGCTTGTAGTCCTGGACTTAACAGCGCTTCGTTTAGTGACCATTTGAAATTGGAATGGCATTGAAACATGTGACTTAGGACTGGGCCTCGTAGTTATGACCATTGCCGCATCCTCCCAGCGACATGATTCATGGAACAACCCCAACGATTCGCTGAACAACAGTGGCAGGAAATTCAGGCACCAAACTCATTTGAGCCTTGTGTTGCTTAGCAACGGAAATTCCAGTTACGGTCATAAACTGAGGACCCCCTGCCATTCATAAAAGTCTTCCTTGTGTTTAAAAGGAGCATTTTTCCTTGGCACATTCACGGAACATGAGGCTCGAAAAAAAGTTTGAATTGCCGAGATTTTAGAAACGTTTATCTGAAATTCTGGATAAAGAGTTTTTTTTCCCTCTTTTCCTGCGTTGCAGAAAAAAGCAGAGGAAGCTCATAAGATTTTCGAAGGGCTGGGCCCCAAGGTGGAGCTGGTGAGTACTACTACTACTACTACTACTACTTCTTCCTCCTTCTCCTCCATTTTTCTTCCTTCTCTTCTTTTTCTCCCTTTTCTTTCTTTCCCTCCCTCCCTCCACCTCCTTTTCTTTCTTCCTTTTCTTCCTCTTTATCTCAATCTTTTCCTTCTTTCCTCCCTCCCTCCTTCCCTTTCCTCCTCCTCTCTTCATCTTTTTCTTTTTCCTCTTCTTTTTCTTTTCCTCCTCCTCCTCCTCTTCTCCTCCTCCTCCTTCCTTCTCCTCCATTTTTCTTCCTTCTCCTTTTTCTCCCTTCTCTTTCTTTCCCTCCCTCCCTCCACCTCCTTTCTTATCTTCCTCTCCATTCTTCTTCCTTTTCTTCCTCTTTATCTCAATCTTTTCCTTCTTTCCTCCCTCCCTCCCTCCTTCCCTTTCCTCCTCCTCCTCTCTTCGTCTTCTTTTTCTTTCTCCTCTTCTTTTTCTTTCCCCCCTCCTCCTCCTCCTCCTCACCTCCTCCTCCTCCTCCTCCTGCTCCCCTCGTTGGCTTTCATCCCCCTCTTGGGAAGGGACTTTCTTCAAAAGCAGGAAGAGAAGCAAAGATCTCTGGCCTAACCACGTTTCCTTGGGTTGGAAACAGCGATCCCGGTTTGCTTGCTAAATAAAACCGTAATTTTTCCCGGTTGCTTCCAAATTGTTTCTCAGACGACAACGGTGTGTTTTTGGAAATACGGTGCTTGCCATCTCTTTGTTTTTCACTTTCTAGGTTATTAATTTTTTTTGTCCTTCCAATCTTGGAAGGAGCTAAATGAAGAGAAATGTGAAGTTTTGGAATTTCCGGCTGGGAGCCCTAGTTTGTTTCAATAAAAGATAATAATTTTTTTTATCTTGGGATTGAAATGAGGCTCTCTGAACTTGGTGGTATTTTTTGCAGACATTTCATGACCCAACTGGGCAACATCATCAGTGCTAGAAGACAGGAGATATGTGGGGTGGGGGAAGGAGGAGGAGGAGGACTGTGGGGTCCTCGGGGCTCTCTGAGCGTAATGGTTTTCTTGCAGACGTTTCATTACCCAACTAGGTAATGTCATCACTGCTGGAAGGGAGTGGGAATGGGAGTAGAGAGGAGGAGGAGGAGGAGGAAAAGGAAGAGGAGGATTGAGGCGTCCTTAGTGTTGTCTGAGCTGGGTTGTTTTCTTCCAGACATTTCATTACCCAACTAGGTTACATCATCAGTGCTAGAAGGGAGTACAGTTTGCGGAGTAGAGGAGGAGGAGGAGGGTGGGGTCTTCGGTACTCTCTGAGCCTAGTTGTTTTCTTGCCAACGTTTCATTACCCAAGTAGGTAACATCATCAGTGCTAGGAGAGAGAGGGAGTTTGTTCTCTGTTTAACTACCAAGAAGAAAACCCACCCATTCACCGACACCGATAAGGCAAGCCCCCCCCCCCCTCCAGGGGTGAAATGCTCCCGGTTTGGAACCGATCGCCCAATCTGGTAGCGATGGAGGCGGGTGGTTCGGAGAACCGGTAGCAAAAATCCCTGCGCCCCCCGCCCCCAAATTGCCCAGTTGAGCCGTGCAATCATCAAAGGCTTTTTAAAATTATTTTTAAAAGCATTTTTTCTACAACCTCTTTGGCCGAAAAAAATGCTTTTAAAAGTTTTTTTTTTAAAAAAGCCTCTGATGATGGCGCAGCTCAGCTGGGATCGTCAGAGGCTTTTAAAAGCATTTTTTGAAAATAAAAAAAAAAAAAAAGTTGGCCACGCCCACTCAGTCATATTACCCCCCCCCCCACCACCACCAAGCCACGCCCACAGAACCGGTAGTAACAAATTTTACATTTCACCACTGCCCCCTTCCATATAAAAACAGAGAGCAATCCCGCCCCCCCTCTTCTAGGACGCACATAACTGGAGAAATGGGGAAAACTCTCTTTGTGGGTAGATCGTGACTACGTAGTCCATAAGCCAAGAAAGTTGTGTCAGGATTCGGCTTCACATCAGACGTAAAAGCAGCTAAATCTCTCTCTCTCTCTCTCTTTTTTTACAGCCTCTTTACAACCAGCCTTCCGACACAAAAGTGTATCACGAAAACATCAAAACGTAAATATGGATAATATTTCATAAAATTTTCAAGGTTTGGGGTGGGGTGGGAAGGCCCCCTAATTTTTTGAGACGAAATTTCTGCCTTATATTATATTTATTCTTTTACAGACGGTCCTCGACTTACAACCGTTCGTTTAGGGACCGTTCAAAGTTACGACGGCACCGAAGAGAGTGACTTACGACCGTTTTTCGCACTTAACGACCATTGTTAGCATCTCCCAGATTCACGTGACCAAAATTCAGACGGTTGGCACTCGGTTCATATTTACGACGGTCGCAATGTCCTAGGGTCACGTGATCCCCTTTTTGCGACCTTCGGACAGGCAAAGTCAATGGGGGGGGGAGCCAGATTCATTTAACAACCGGGTGACTTAACTTATCAGCTGCAGTGATTTGCTTAACAACGGTGGCAGGAGAGGTCGTAAAATGGGCATGCGAGCCCCATTTGTGACATTCAGGGGGGCACACGAAGCCCACAGGGAGGCCAAATTCACTTAACCACCAGGTGACTAACTTATCAGCTGCAGTGATTCACTTAACGACGGCAAGGAAAGGTCGTAAAACGAGCTCAAAACTCAACAAATGTCTCCCTTAACAACAGAAATTTAGACCTCCATTGTGGTCATAAGTCGAGGACTACCTGTAGTTATTACCAGCGGTCCTCAATTTACAACCGCAGCTGGAAACAGAATTTCCGTTGCTAAGTGAATCCATGACCTCTAGGACGCTGCCACTGTCGTAAACACACACCATTGTCAAGCGCCTGAATTTTGATCACGTGACCGAGGGGATGCTACGACGGTCATATGTGTGAGGACCAATTGCGAATTGCTTCCCCCCCCCCCCCCCAGTGCTGTCGTAACTTGGAACAAACGGTTGTAAGTCGAGGAATAAATAGCATTTTCAGGGGTGTGAACTATTTCTCGATAAGGCAGATGCCGAAGGACCATGGATTAATTATTAGTGGGATTTTTTTTTTTTTGGCAGGCAGGAGTTGAACTGGGTGTGACGTCTTCCGCTCACACACAAAACTCCTGAACACTTTTTATCAACACAACCTGTATTTTTTTTTTCTCTCTTACACCCCCCCACCCACTGCCCCCCGAAAGCACATGCACCAAAATATTGTAGGACGCGCCACCCTCTGTAAGCGAAGGAGGAAAATTCGGGTGTGCAATTTTGTCCCAGACGGGGAGGAAAACTTATCTCAGCTTTGATGTGTCTCTCCCCGTGTCCCGTCCCCCACTTTCTCTCTTTTTAGGAACCAAGTGATGAGAAAGAAGCTGATTTTGTTTTTCAAGAGACGGAATCATGCCAGAAAGCAAAGGGTATGGGTGTGTTTTTCTTTCTTTCTTTCTTTCTTTCTTTCTTTCTTTCTTTCTTTCTTTCTTTCTTTCTTTCTTTCTTTCTTTTTCTTTCTTTCTTTCTTCCTTCCTTCTTCTCCCCTCCCTCTCCTTTCTCCCTCTCTTCATCCCTCCCTCTCGACTCCCTCCCTCTTTCCTTCCCTCTCTACCTTTCTCCCTTCCTCTCTTCCTTCCTCTATCTCACCCTCCCTCCCTGTCTCTCTCCTCCACTCCCTCTCTACCTCTCCCTTTCCCACCCCCTCTCTCCTTTCCTCCCTCCCTCTTTTCCTCTCTCCTTCTCCCCCTCTCTCTTTCCCTCCTTCCCTCTCTCCCACCCTCTCCCCCTCTCTCTTCCTCTCTCCGTCTCTGTTCCTCCCTCCATCCCCCTCCCTCTTTCATTCCCTTTCTCCCTTCCTCCCTTCACCCTCTCCCTTTCTCCCTCCCTCTCTCTCACCCTCCCTCTCTGTCTCTGTCCTCCACTCCCTCTCTACCTCTCCCTTTCCCACTCCCTCTCTCTTTCCCTCCCTCCCTCTTTCCCTCTCTCCTTCATTCCCTCTCCTTCCCTCCTTCACCCTTTCCTCCCTCTCTTCCTCTCCCTCTCTTTTCCTCCTTCCCCCTCCCTCTGTATCTTTCTCACTCCCTCCTTCACCCTCTCCCTTCCTCCCTCCCGCCCTCTCTCTCACCCTCCCTCTCTGTCTGTCTCCTCCACTCCCTCTCTACCTCTACCTCTACCTCTCCCTTTCCCACTCTCTCTGTCTTTCCCCCCCTCCCTCTTTTCCTCTCTCTCCTTCTCCCCCTCTCTCCTTCCCTCCTTCACCCCCTCCCTCCCTTTCTCTCTCTCTTTCTGGCTTTCCCTCTCCCTCCCTCCCTCTTTCTTTCTGTGTCTTTCTCGGTCTCCCTGACCCTGTCTCTTTGGTCTCTGGGGGATCCCCAGGAGCAGAAGATCTGCCAGCGCTATGACCAACTGATGGAGGCCTGGGAGAAGAAGGTGGACCGGATCGAGAACAACCCCCGGAGGAAGGCCAAGGAAAGCAAAACCCGGGAGTATTACGAGAAGCAGTTCCCCGAGATCCGGAAGCAGCGGGAACAGCAGGAGAGGTTCCAAAGGTGAGGCCGGATCAGGAGGCCGGGTTGTTACCTGGGGGAGACCCCCTCTTCCCGAACCCCTCCGCCCATCCCATCATGCTCAGCAGGAATGGCACCTTGGGGGTCCCTGTCTGCCAAGGACCTCCATCTGAGGTGTCTTTTCTCAGTGGTGGGTTCCTGCCGGTTCGGCCCGGTTCGGCTGAGCCGGTAGCGGTGACGATATGACATCACCGAACCGGTTCTCTTTGTTTGGGAGCTGGGGCCCCCCCTCCCGCGTTATTCTTACCACCCCCAATCTATTGCTGCCTCCCGAGTCCCAGCTGATTGGCTAGAAGAAAAAAAAACTGTTTAAACTCTTGCCCCTGGGCTTCAAAGGGCCACCCTACAGTTGATCAGTGTTAAAAGGCAGTGTGGTGGTAGACCGGTGCCTCCAAAAACGAATGAGTAGACCGGTGCCTCCAAAAACGAATGGGTAGACCGGTGCCTCCAAAAACGAATGAATAGACCGGTGCCTCCAAAAACGAATGAGTAGACCGGTGCCTCCAAAAACGAATGAGTAGACCAGTGCCTCCAAAAATGAATGAGTAGACCGGTGCCTCCAAAAACGAATGAGTAGACCTGGGTAGACCGGTGCCTCCAAAAACGAATGGGTATACTGGTCCTTCCAAAAACGAAAGGTGCCTCCAAAAACAAATGAGTAGACCGGTGCCTCCAAAACGAAAGGTGCCTCTAAAAACGAATGAGTAGACCGGTGCCTCCAAAAACAAATGGGTAGACTGGTGCCTCCAAAAACGAATGAGTAGACCTGGGTAGACTGGTGCCTCCAAAAACAAATGAGTAGACCGGTGCCTCCAAAATGAAAGGTGCCTCTAAAAACGAATGAATAGACCTGGGTAGACCAGTGCCTCCAAAAACAAATGAGTAGACCGGTGCCTCCAAAAACGAAAGGTGCCTCCAAAAACAAATGGGTAGACTGGTGCCTCCAAAAACAAATGGGTAGACTGGTGCCTCCAAAAACGAATGAGTAGACCGGTGCCTCCAAAAACGAATGAGTAGACCTGGGTAGACCGGTGCCTCCAAAAACGAATGGGTAGACTGGTGCTTCCAAAAAAGAAAGGTGCCTCCAAAAACAAATGAGTAGACCGGTGCCTCCAAAACGAAAGATGCCTCTAAAAACGAATGAGTAGACCTGGGTAGACCAGTGCCTCCAAAAACGAATGAGTAGACCGGTGCCTCCAAAAACAAATGGGTAGACTGGTGCCGCCAAAAACGAATGAGTAGACCGGTGCCTCCAAAAACGAATGAGTAGACTGGTGCTTCCAAAAACGAAAGGTGCCTCCAAAAACAAATGAGTAGACCGGTGCCTCCAAAATGAAAGATGCCTCTAAAAACGAATGAGTAGACCTGGGTAGACCAGTGCCTCCAAAAACGAATGAGTAAACCGGTGCCTCCAAAAACAAATGGGTAGACTGGTGCCTCCAAAAACGAATGAGTAGACCGGTGCCTCCAAAAACAAATGAGTAGACCTGGGTAGACCGGTGCCTCCAAAAACGAATGGGTAGACCGGTGCTTCCAAAAACGAAAGGTGCCTCCAAAAACAAATGAGTAGACCGGTGCCTCCAAAACGAAAGATGCCTCTAAAAACGAATGAGTAGACCTGGGTAGACCAGTGCCTCCAAAAACGAATGAGTAGACCGGTGCCTCCAAAAACAAATGAGTAGACCGGTGCCTCCAAAAACAAATGAGTAGACCGGTGCCTCCAAAAACGAATGAGTAGACCGGTGCCTCCAAAAACAAATGAGTAGACTGGTGCCTCCAAAAACAAATGAGTAGACTGGTGCCTCCAAAAACGAAAGGTGCCTCCAAAAACAAATGAGTAGACCGGTGCCTCCAAAAATGAATGAGTAGACTGGTGCCTCCAAAAACAAAAGGTGCCTCCAAAAACAAATGAGTAGACCAGTACAGCTCTGCAAACAGTTAAAAGCCTGGTAGACCAGTACCTCTGCTAAATCCTAAAGAATTGTCACATGGCCATCAAGCCACGCCCACCAAATAAGCCACGCCCACAGAAGCGGTGGTAAAAAAAATTTAGAACCCACCCCTGCCTTTTCTGCTGTGGTTCCTGATCTCCAAAGGCAGAAATTAGGACCAGGAAGTCCTGATCCATCTTCTCTCTCCTTGACCACCTTCCCTTGTGCCGCCTCTGCAGGGTTGGCCAAAGAGGGACCGGCCTTTCGGCCACCATCGCTCGGAGCGAGCACGAGATCTCCGAGATCATCGACGGGCTGTCGGAACAGGAGGTGAGAGCGGCCACTTTCCCCCCCGGAAGATTTGGGGGAAGGGAAGGGGAAGGGGGAGATGCTCTCCCGGAGAGACCGGATCCCAGATCTCTCTGGAAGGGTTGTCGGTTTTTTTTTTTAAAAGCGGTGGGTCATTGCGAGAGCTGGCAAATAAAGAAATAAAAACCAGGGGTTTGGTACGGGGCGTCTCCTGGACGGATGACCGCAGTTAAGTGAGTCACAGCTGATTTTGCAACTGTTTTTGTGCCGGTTATTTGAATTGTTAGAGTTGTTAAGTGACTATTTAACACTATTGGGGGAGATGGCGGCTGTCCCTTCCTTCCTTCCTTCCTTCCTTCCCTCCCTCCCTCCCTCCCTCCTTTTTTCTCCTTCCTTCCCTCCCTCCCTCCTTTTTTCTCCTTCCTTTCTCCCTCCCTCTCTTTCTTCTCTCTCCCTCCTTCCCTCCCTCCTTTTTTCTCCTTCCTCCCTCCCTCCCTCTCCTCCTCTCTCCCTCCTAGCTTCCCTCCCTCCTTTTTTCTCCTTTCATCCTTTCTTCCGTTCTCCCTCCCTCCTTTTTTCTCCTTCCTTCCTCCCTCCCTCCCCTCCTCTCTCCCTCCTTCCCTCCCTCCCTCCTTTTTTCTCCTTCCTTCCTTCCTCCCTCTCTCCCTCTCTTCCTTCCCTCCTCTCTCCCTCCTTCCCTCCCTCCCTCCTTTTTTCTCCTTCCTTCCTTCCTCTCTCCCTCCCTTCCCTCCTCTCTCCCTCCTTCCCTCCCTCCCTCCTTTTTTCTCCTTCCTTTCTCTCTCCCTCTCTCCCTCCCTCTCTTCCTTCTCCCTCCCTCCTTCTCTCCCTCCTTTTTTCTCCTTTCATCATTTCCTTCCTCTCTCCCTCCCTCCTTTTTTCTCCTTCCTTCCTTCCTCTCTCCCTCCCTCCCTTCCCTCCTCTCTCCCTCCTTCCCTCCCTCCCTCCTTTTTTCCTTCCTTCCTTCCTCTCTCCCTTCCTCCCTTCCCTCCTCTCTCCCGTCTTCCCTCCCTCCCTCCTTTTTTCTCCTTCCTCCCTCCCTCCCTCTCTTCCGTCACTCCTCTCCCTCCTTCCCTCCTTCCCTCCCTCCTTTTTTCTCATCCTTCCCTCCCTCCCTCTCTCCCACCCTCCTTTTTCTCCTCTCCTCTCCTCTCCCTCCCTCTCTCCTTCTTTTTCCCTGTCTCTTTTTCTTTCTTTCTCAGTGAGAACCGTTCCTCTCCAGAAGTTGTGAGCGCTCCATCACTGGAAGTTTTTAAGAAGAGACAGGGCAGCCACCTGTCCGAAATGGTCTAGGCCTGGTCTCCTGCTTGAGCAGGGGGTTGGACTAGAAGACCTCCAAGGTCCCTTCCAACTC